TTAAAAAGCTACCAATAAGAATTAATAATTAATTATTAATTAATTAATTACTGATAAGTATTAGTCAATATTAATAATTTTTGCCACCACCGCGGTAGGCTAGAGAGCGCTTCCAGCGCGCAGAAATTAAAAATAAGTAAGTGTTTTATTTCGACCAAATTTAGAGAATTTTGAATTCTTTAATATCTGTAGATAATGAAACATCTTTAAATCAACTTCAAATCTGTTGAATTTTTATCAGGTAACCAGTCAAAGTTTAAGAATTATAATAACTTGCTTTGTGTTGGTAAATTGCGCGTGAAGGTTTTTCTTCTCTTACAATGTTAATTCCTAATTTATTTTTAATTTTTGACCATCATTGTATTCAAAACTGTCATACGTTTTGGCTGAATAATGGTAAGTTTTTATAATTATTGTACTGTCCCTACGTCAATAAAGAAAGCGCTGCATATTTTTGATGTATGTATAAACAATACTAAGGTTTTAAAAAATGTCATGCACTCTGTGTTAAGTGTTTTTAATAGCTTACTGTTCTGTCTTTTAAATAAATCTAAAATCAAGTGCTAGTATTCGCCACAAATATTTTTTGTTTGAAGAATTTTAATAGAAATTTGGTTTTAAATTACTAAGTAGACTATGAATTTACAAAAATAAATTTATCTCGGAAAAAACTTAATTCAAAAATTTAATTTTTTTTTTAAATATAGAAAAACGCTGAAAGCCCAGAAGTAATATTATTGTATAAAATACTGTCATACGTAACAATGAGGTTTTATTTTATAAATGTTCAGTTATATTTTTGTAATTTACTCATTAAAACTATAGATCTTAATTTTGCCATCACACAAATATAGGTACTTTTACTGTTAAAGTATTATATTGTGGTTTTGTTTTTCTATTGGTAGTAAAAAGTAATTTTTATTAAAATTTCATCAATAAGAACAAAAAAATTAACAATACCTCAGAATTACTTAACCAAATAATTTCTGCGCGTTAAATTGGCTCGCTAGCCCACTGTGCAACGCCTTGAATAAAGTGTTCATATTAGACACATAATGTTGACTTCGACCATCTTCAATTATTGCTACATTACAAGAAATATCCGTTTCAGATAAAGGTATTTTTTCATTTGACAGGGGGGGCAGGGGGTAACCCACTTAAAAAAGCCCGCAGGGTTTTTTAAAAGTTTTTTTTTTAAACCCTAAAACTAGTACTAGGTATTTAATCAAAAGCAGTACATTCTAAAACTGAGAAACGATCAAACCATTGACCAAACAAAACGTAAAGTTAAAGTTCGGGGGTTCCCCTGCCGATTTATACTTATGCATTTTATAGTTGACGAACGACTGCGAAAATAAGGAGAAGGTAGTGAATATATTTGGATTTTTTTATCGACAGTATTTCTTTTTAAATGTTGTTTTTTTACCTAAATCTGTATAGAATTTAAAAAAAAAACAATTAAACCCACTTTTAAAACCCAAAAAAGCCCAATGGGTTGGGATTTATTTAAAAAAAAAACGGGTTTTTTCCAACCCTGTATCTTCGTCAATAACAAAGATAATATCGCGATTAAAACAACAAAATATTCAGAAAAGACAGGGCTACAGTAAAATTTTGATTGACATTTGCTGTTGTTTCTAGTGCATTCCACAGGGTGTCACATATTTCGGGGAAAAAATTCGGTCTTATGCAGGGTGTTATTTAAGAAGAAAATTTTATATAAACATAGGTCCGGTAATGCTTCGTTTTTATCATACTTTTTTTTACTATTATTAAACTTCGTACAGATGCGACAGAAATTCTTTAATTAAATGCTTGAAAAATATAGTACATAAACCTCGTCGGGGAAAGCACATATTATCGCCAGGCATACATTTTCCTGTGGATTGTGTGCTATTTTTAAATTTCCATAAAAAAATAATGATCAATTTCTGAACCAACAGCAACATGTTTTGTTGCTTGAATTTAGAAACGAATTTTTGGAAGAATCTATCACTTGCGTAGAAGTGTTATTTCCCAAAGACTTCCATTGATTATTTTAAAAATTCGTTTCCAAACTCTAGAAACAAAATGAGATCATGTTGATAGCTTGAAAATTAATTATTATAGTTAATTTTTTATGGAAATTTCATGAGCAAGCTCGTGAGATACCAAATACACCGTGGCGTATGAAAACAAATGTAACTTGTAAAAATAGTTTTCTTGAAAATTAATTATTATAGTTAATTTTTTATGGAAATTTCATGAGCAAGCTCGTGAGATACCAAATACACCGTGGCGTATGAAAACAAATGTAACTTGTAAAAATAGTTTTCTTCAAATCTGTGCTGTAAAAAAATTGAAATTATTTGTGTCTGATGCCTCACATAAACATATATTAAATTTTAAAAACATTCCATAGAAAACTTTAAATGGAGATATCTCAGATATCTCAGTATATACTGCCTTAAATATCGTATTTTTAGTGAAATTGCCAACGATTATAGCTTCTAAAGTAAAGATTTTTCCATTTTTTTTTCATTTCAAAACAATTTTTTGTAATTACCAAGCACCCAAACTTTTTATGAGGATAGAAATACAAATATACAAAAACTTTGTTTAAAAAATATATACTTAATTCTGTTTAAGTGTATTAATATAGTGAGATAGGAGTGTGGTATTAGTACAGTCAATCTGTAGAAAAATCTGGGGGTAATCGACTAGATTTTTGATATTTTATTCCTGGAGGTCTAAAGGGTTAAATGTCAAATTCCCGTAATACTCCCTCCGGTGCTTTTCCTCCTTTTTCAAAAAAGTTTTGAATCGTTCTATCTTGTTTCCTATTGGCTGGATAAAAAAGTTTCAAGGCAAAAAATGTAGAGCTGGAAATTTCCAACATATTTATTTAAAGGCAAAACTTTCTGTAGTTAGTTTCTAAAAGGATAGTCTATCTATTAGAGGGTGCCAAAATTACCAAAAATTAGTTTTTTATATTTTGACCCTCTAAAATTGAATAAAAATAAAAATTCTACACACAAATGTTGTAGATCTTAAACACAACAAAAATGTTGGTAAATTATTTTCTTTAATTAAATTACCTACTTTTGATGCATTAGGCTCAGGGACTGTTGTGAACTTTGTTTGGTATCGTATGCAATTTTTTTAACATTTTACTTAACCAATATTGACTGTCACTGTTCGTGTCATCGTGGTCGGGAAGTCGAAAAAAGTTTGCTTACATTGCCGACAAAAACTAATTACACAATTAACTTAATTTTGACTTACATTTTTGTCAGAAATTTATTTTTACTTTTTTAACCTGAATACGAGGTTACTTTTTACTAATAGGCTAAATTCCAACTGCTTATTTTATAAAAAAAAGCGAAAAATAAATATAAAAATAAAATACAATAAAAATAAAAAATTGAAAAAAATAACAAATAATTTTTTGATTAACAAAAAGTATAATTTAAACAATTTTGTAAACCAAAGGTTTCGAAAAAACAAAAAGATATATAATTTATATTCATATAATCATTCATACAGAATTTGTCAAGAACAATTTTTTTAATTCAATTTCTGAGAATAGGAAATATCGTTAATTAAATTAAGTTTATATTTTTCCCAAAAGCTTAGAAACTATCAATGCACCAATTATTTAATAACTGTAAAGTCGGTTTAACGATTATTTTATCAACAGAGCCTCTTTAATGGAAAAACATAAATGTGCCATTTTCATTCATAGCCTTAAAAGCAGATATACATGGTACAAGAGCCAATACATCGAAATTTTCATATAATATTTTATCACATAGTGCGGCAGCTTCTTTTAGGGCCGGTTTATCAATGTCCAGTTAAACAATTAGTTATCTGGCAGATAATTTCCATGGATACCATTATAGACTAATATAATCTGTGGATAGACTAACTGGAACTTAACCAGAGATTGATAAAGCGGCCCTTAGTAATTTTCTACATGCGTTGTTTCCCTTAAAGATTTCCCCATGACAATTTTTTCAGTGCTTTTTCTCGAGCTATGACCGGTACCAAGCCATTCCAGAAAAGGTGGTTAACAACAATGAAATGGCACATTTATGTTTTTCCACTAAAAGAAGAGGCTCTGTTGATGCCCCATCAATTAACAAAATATCCTAAGATTTTAAGAAAAATATTAAATTATTTTAATTAACAATTCTTCCTATTCTAAGAAATTAATTAATTTAAAAAAAATGTTCTTGACAAGTTTTGTATGAATAAATTTCCTAAGTTTTGGAGCTTATATGAATATTGTATATCTTTACACAAAATTATAAATTTTTTAAATTATACTTTTTGTTAATAAAAAAATTAATTGGTATTTTTTCCCGTCACAACCTTTCGTCCTCATTATCACATAAGGGCGTATCTCATATTTAACAATTTTACAGAGCATTTTTTTAGCCAATTTAAATTATTTTTTGAAATTACATCTTGTAGGTACTACCTTGAAGCACTTTCAATCTATAAAATGCTCTGTAAACATTTTAAATATGAGATACGCCCTTATGTGATAACGGGGACGATTTCTGGAGGTCGACGATACACCGAGAACGATTTAAAGAGCGTCTCTAACTTTAAGCAGCTGTAATTTGGAAACGGTTGGCAAAATGTTATTAATGTTAATTTTGGCTCCTTCTATCCTTTTAGGTAGTAGCTACAGAAAGTTTTGCTTTTAAATAAATATGTTGTAAATTTCAAGCTCTTCATTCTTTGTATCGACTTGTTTGTTCAACCAATAGAAAACAAGATAAAACCATTCAAAACTTTTTTGAAAAGGGGGGAAAGCACCGGAGGGGGGATCACGGGCATTTGTCATTTTACCCTTTAGACCTCCAGAAAAAACATATGCAAAATCCAGTCGGTTGGAAATATTTTCGATGTCAAAATACAGATTGACTGTATTATTATTAATATAGCAGTCAAAATATTTTGGATACATTAAATTGGTATTTTATGAATCTATATCTATATCTTTTTTTCAGTGAGGATTCTGCAGTTATAGGAAGTAGATTCTCGAAATCTTCTACGGAAAGGGAGCAAATTTTGCTAAAACGCAAAGAAAAACTGCTGCACAATGCGCGCAAGCGTTACATTGAAAAGCGTAAACAGACCGAACACGTGCATTCGCAGAGCTGAACTATTCATTTGTAAGTTGTACATTGACGTTTTTACTGTCAAACGGTCTCGGCTGACTAAGATTTTAACTGTAGAGAAATATTGCGGAAATATGATAAAATGTTGCAAACTAAAATTGTCCCTTTTAAAATTGAAAAAAATAATAAAATTATGCCAAAATCTTGTTAGATAGTGGGGCCAAATCGATTAATAAAAGAAGTTTTATCATATTTTACGTTTTTAGTCAGTTAAGGACAACTTTTAAATACTACATTTTTAAAAAATAGAAGTATAACTAAATGTTTTAGATCCTGACTATAACAACCTAATAATAAGTACTTGTAATAAATAACCATGTTTACCGCGCGTGCGCTATAGTCTACCGTACACTAACCGACGAAAGTATTAGTAGAATTACTTTTGTCCGCCCGTGTACATTGTTTTTATTTTTTATTGATTTAATTTTTGTACATAGAGTTTAGTTGTTATATATTTGTTTTTAAGTAAAAAAAATTAAAGGGAATATAATATTTTGATATGAAATTTAAGTACGCTTATTATATGAGAAAAGCTCAATATGAAAAATATTTTTTATGAGAAGAAAGATTTTACAGGGAAAACGCAAAAGTTTTCCATAAAATGTACTTCTAAGGATCGTTAAAAATGGCTTTTAATTGGTTAGGTCTTAATTATTTTACATTAAATACTTAAAAATACTTGAGTATTAAGGGGACATTCAACTAAAGATTGTCTCCCTGCTCTATTGTCCAAGTTTTTAACTGTAGAATGTCCAATTTAAGGTTTTTTTAATTTATTTAGTTTTAGCATTCGTATTTAGCACATTTTATGCTGCTTATCTATTTTAAGTGTTATATAATTGCTTACCACTTAAGTTTGTGATATTTTTAGCGTAGTATTCATTTATACAGAATATTTTCAAATATACCCTGTATATTATTATCAATTACATTTGAATGGTTTTTAATAAGACTGACAAGCTTTGAATAAAGAGTGGTGCAAAATAAAAATCCAAAAAATGCACATTTTTTAAGTTTTTTATTTTGCAAAATATTGATAATGCGTGATATGATCTTATCGTTTTTTTAATAGCTAGGTTTCAGTTTACATAATACTTAACAGTACTTGACATGTTATAGGCTATGTAACTGTCATAACAGTCAGGTTGGCACAACTGAAATGTACTCTATAATATATATATAAAGCTGTGCATTTATATTATACATTTTATAATAAAAGACAGTTACCACTTAAAAAAAAAGCAGCAAAATGATTGTTTTGTCCACACTTTCCACATTTTTTTCCAAACACTTGCCATAGAGATGCTGCTTCATACATCTTCCACAAGCTTTTGACTGGCCTTTCTTTAAATTATACTTATTATTCCTAAAAGTGGGACGTATTACCTTCTTTCCTTGAATACTTGTCACCAACCTTGATTTTTTCTTTATTTAAGTCGTGATTTCTTTCATCGGTAATTTCTTTACTTCTAGACTTCTAAGCTTATACAAAATTTTATGTTGTATCTTCTAAATTAAATTTATTTTGTAGCAATTTTTCTCTCAATATGTCATCTTTTACTTCACAAATAATTATATCCCTAGATATTTCATCCTTTAATGTTCTCAACTCACAAGACAATGCAAGATTCTTTAAATGTGTTATAAATTGTTCCGTTGTCTCAAAAGATTATCTGTGAGACAAGGTGTATTTTATAAGCAAGATTCTTTTTTTGGATAAAATGTTCTTTAAATTTCTTTAATAAAGGCTTTATTTCTATGGCCTGGTTGGTAGGTTGAATGCCTCTAAAAATGGTTGAAAACCCAAGATATAGAAATTTTTTGTGCGATTTTTAACCTCAAAATGTAAAAAGTGGCGGTGACTCAGCTGATCCTGTCGGCAACGCCAGGTGTAAGAATGATTAGAAACAAGTGTAATGTGGTAACCACATAACAAGGTGGTAACTGACTTTTCATATAAATGCGCAGCTTTATATTATACAGAGAGTTCGATTTTATCCTCGGTGAGAAGCGCATCGCTCGTGCATAGCTCCATGAAAAAGTGTGAAATATAGTTGACTTTGACTCAGGGAGGACAAAATCGGATTCCAGTCCTAGATAATATTCCTCGTTTTGTCCTTTTTTAAAGGAATAGAGGAATTTATATGAACATATAAATTTCAAGGTTATATAACCTATTTGTGTCCACGTGTTCGTTAGAAAACTTGTGACTGGTTAAAAGAGCCACAACGGCTCAGACCAATTCCATTACTGAGGGAGAGGCTTATGGTACTCCGGAGGTAGTGGAGAAAAATAAAGAGAGAGAGAGATATTATACAGTACATTTTAGTTGTGACAACCTAACAATAATATGAGGTTAAATAACCTGTCTGCGACCTTAAACTTAACTCGGCTTTACAGTAAATAAACCAAGGCAGAAATAAATTAACAGAAAATAGTATTCTTAATAAATTACTTATTGTATTTTGCTGTTGTTTACAAACATATTATTAAGCAGTAAAATTTAGTATATAGACATAAAATGGGCGGGGCTTTATTTGACAGAATGTTATCAGCGTTGCCATCAAAGCTCGCGATAAATTCCCTGTGCGGTCCTTGAAATTTTCCTAGATTTAAATGTGAAATTATACAATTAAATGTGAATTTTGAAAAATATTTTTATTATATTAATAACGTAAAAGCCAGCAAACGCAGTAATCTGCCATCACGGAGTTCTGGCCCAGTAAAAATGGCTATTCTTAAATGGGCCGGACGACATTCTTCTGCTGGACCCGTACCGGCACATTGTATGTGTTTGCTGGGAACATGTTTAATAGTGAAATTAAAAAAATAGAATATTCTAAAACAAACATAATTCAAATATAAAATAAGCATATTATTGCCGCTAACAAGCGAAATAAAAACGATCTAGAAACCAGACCAGCCTTATGCCCCCAAAGGCTTGGTGGTGCATTAATTTTAGAGATGACAATAGAAAACTGTTTTTCTAAATAAATAGAAATTATTTTATAGTAAATAATTTTTAGATTTGAAATTTGAAGCTAAGAAAAAATTTGTTGCGCAACTTCTGAAGTTTTCCTACAACTCACGTCAGTGTCCCTAATTTCTTGAGGTGGCGAATTTTCCTAAAATAGGGAAATTTTCCTAGAGATGGCAACGCTGTGCGTTATAACTTTAAATAATCCTGCCTTAAATAAATGTTAATTAAAAGTTGCCTATTTGTAGTTTAACATCATAAGGTAACTTTTTCGAAAACGCTCACTGATTTTTTAATTGTACTTAGGCTAAGTGAGTAATTATCTTTAGGGCGAGTAAAAATAACCTTTTCAGGGGTGTTAATTTAAATCCAAAATATATTTTTCCAGACTTTTTAGAAAAACAAGGAAAACCTTAAAAACTACATCACGTCAAGTTTTTATGGCATGTAGCAAAATCATTTCCAAAGCAACCACCTAGTTTTAAACTATAATTTAGTAAATTGATTTAAAGGTCGTATTTTGTTAGTTAATTTTAAACGGTTTTTGGGGATTTTTTTATTTAACAATATCTTTGATGTAGAATACAAATATACTTACTGAAAAAGTTATTTTACTCTGAAACGATTTTGTCTTAATTTTTAATCACCAAACACTCAATTTTGGGCTGATTCCAATTGCAGGTTTTAACATGTTTGAAAAGTCTGCGGTTGGAACCCTGTAATAATTTAATGCGATAGGATTGTGGTCTAGTTACCTAGTTAAAATGTTAAGGTACATTTCGATATAGGAAATATGTAATTGCCATGCAAAAACTATTATGTGCCAGGATTTAAGGCAAAATTTATTTCAAATAACTTAATGATTGTCCCCCACCACCAATGTTTAATATTGTACTTATGTGTATGTCCCCCTTATGAAATAGTATTATACTATGCTTAGTATTGCTGTATAAATCAATAAATAAATTTATTCAAAGTATAAAGATTTTTATTTTGTGGTTAAAAAAAACAGTTATAATTGAATAATTTAGTGGGAAAAGCAAGGCAAGGTACAGATTTTTTTATTTGCATACTAATATTTTTTCTCCCATCTTTTCTTTTTCCTCAATGGCCATCTGCATAGACCATATACTTAAGGGTCTCATATACCCTATAGATCTATAATACCCTTTTTCGTATAAAGCTTCAGGTGTATCAAAGGATAAGCCGAATTTATCGCGCATCGACTTATACATGCCTCCTGCAGTTTTAAAGCCCTCATTGTACATGCCCTAAAACGTAAATAACAATTTTTTGTAAATGTGTACCAATGTACTAAGGTCCCACCTTGACATTGGAATATAAATAATTAAGGTTATCTCTCTGTCTGTTTAAAGCTAATTTCGTTTTATTTTCTAAAAATAAGAAAATTGGTATATGACTTTTTGTGTTCTAAATTAAGACCTTATACACAAAAAACACATGGATTATATTATTTTCAGAAAATAAGACGAAATAGCGTTAAACTGGCAGTTAACCTCAATTATTTGTATTCAAATGTCAAAGTGGGACTTTAGGGCCTAGGCTTTAGGGTGTGGAGCATAGTACCATGGAGCTCCATACATAGTACAATGAGGGAAAATAATGAAAAGAGTGCATTACTTATTATTATTATTTTTTATGACTACAGACAAAATTTTGCATCATTGTGCCTTTTATACTACATTCCAAAATATTCCTCTCCCTCTTGTTGACATGACAAGAATAATTTTTGAACTCTCAAAATGCTTACCTCAAAAATTAAATGCCCTGCCAAGGCGTAAGTTACTCCAGTCCAAGACTCCAAACTTTGTACAGCTGTTGGATCAATGTTTCCATTAATCCAACCATTTACAGCTCCCAAATCGCCATTACTAAATTTTAGTACATTGTTTTGGAAAATTGTTTTCAGGGATTTTTTAATATTCTCTTTAGATATAATCTAAATAGAAAAATACAAATTTTTGAACATATTTTATATATAAAATAAATCCAGTCTTACTGGATAGTCCTGTATGCCGCAACATCTCAAATACCATTGGAAACACAATTGGTCAGCCATTATGGCAGTGCTTTCTTTTTTGGACGTGTCAAAATTATAATATTCACCATTCCACAGTATTTTCTCAAAACTTTCCTTTCCTTTATCTAATATGTTTTGAAATCTAAGTCTATCACATTCTTTGTTTAGTAATTTTGCAAATATGGTCATTACATAACACGCTGCCAACCACAGACCGCCGCAATATGCACTAAAAACCCATTTATTATTGTTATAATAATAATAATAATAATAAGGGGCCTATTATTATTATTACGCTATGCAAATGAAACCAATTTTATTCTAGTAAAGTTTTGTATAACAATAATTACAGTTTTTATGATTATATTAAAACCACTTGGTTTCTGGTTCCTGTGCCACCACCCAGTATTAATAATAATAATAAAATACTTTATGCACGATGACAGTATAATATGACAATTATAACAAAAATTCTTTGACGTAAACGTCTTTTTATAGCCCGCGGGCGTTATTATGACCCAGCGGGCTATAATGAAACGTCAAAAATTAAAAACAACAATGTTACACCATTTGATATATTCGAAGTAAGTTTTTTCGTATAAATATTTTGATTTTTCCGGCAGCAGGCCGCAATTTTTCGCCTTTTCAGCTGCTTCCTCAATTTCATTCATCTTTAAACTTTAAAACTGACTGATGTCAGTTGACATTATAATATGACAATTATAACAAAAATTCTTTGACGTTAATGTCTTTAAAAACAATAATATATTAAAAATAATAATATATTAATCGTGCATAAAGTTTTGTATGCATTGCTGGCATAACTGGTTTTTATGGTCCTACGACGCTTTTCTAGCCCTCGCGCTAACGCGCTCGGGCTCGAAATAGCGCCTCGGACCATAAAAACCTTATTATGCCCTTAATACATAAATAACTATTATTCATCATAGAGGGACATCTCTATATACATTAGGGTGAGCCAAAAAAACTAACCTATCGGATTTATGGGTTAAAATGAACCTACATACCGAGCAAAAAATTTCCCTGCAAGGCAAAACTTTTTGCTCAATTTTAAAAGGTGTCGGTGAGCATTCTAAGTTTTACATTGAAATAACACGTAAAAAAATCTTTTTTCATTAAAAAGACTATAACTTTTGAACCGTTTGAGATAAAAATTTTTACGTCGCGGATTCTTGTAGAGCATAAAATTTCCCAAAGAATCTATACCAGGATTATTTTTTTTAATTCAAAAATTCGTATGTTTGAAAGCTTTGAAAAGTCTAAAAAATCACTAAAACTGCAATTTTGCCTTGCAGGGAAATTTTTTGCTAGGTATGTAGGTTCATTTTAACCCATAAATCCGATAGGTTAGTTTTTTTGGCTCACCCTAATATACATGTTACATATAAATATATACTAAATTTAGTATTAAATACAATTTCAAAATTTGAACTTAATACTATGACTACATATTACCATTATCCTATTTAAGTCACAATCTGTAAAGATATACTAACAAAATAAATAAACTTATTATACAAACACACTTATGCTTATTATAACATATGTACATATGCTCATACACGTCCATACCTGCAATTGTGTGGTACATGTTGGATACATGCATCCAACATACTCCACAAACATTTATATAATATATATTACAAGTATTTATCTTGGATGAAAGAAATTTTTTAAAGCCTTAACATTATTTAAGGATTTGACATTGTCAGGCAAGGTGTTATATGTAATTAAGCCTCTATACAATATAGAGTTTTGTCCATACCTGGAGCCAATTTGTATCAAGTCTAAACTATTAACGTTTCTGGTATTGTGGCTATGTATTTGATTTCCAAACATTACTTTTAGATTAGAATGTTTTTTATTATTTACAACATTCTGTATTAAAAAATCGATTTCACAATTCAGCGCCATCTAACCCCCAAACTAAGCAACTTTGTGTTAAGTAAATTAACTTAAATCAATTTGGTCTAAGTAATACGTGGTTTGTTTTCCCGCAGACACTATGTATAACTTACCTTGGTCCGGACATGACCCATACATCGAAAGTCTGATCAGGTTTCCCGGCATTTTCTACAAGACCATCGTTGTCTTTATCGGACTTTTGCAGTTCTATCATGACTTTATAGCACGCGTCGTACATATCAGTCACGAAATTTTTGTCCAATTCACCTTTTCCAGACACTTTGGCGTCTCTGTATGTTTGAAGAACAAACTTTGAGTTTAGGTCTTTCCAGGTTGCCACATCATGGATTGGATACGCGTTTGGGAGCAACCAAGGTTCCTCACCTTAAGTTTAAAAAAAATCTTAGATGAAAGATCCTTTGAGTAAATTGTATGCTCCAATGATAATATCTTATATATGGGACATTTCATACAAAATCGACCCCAAAAAAAAACATTTTTCAGAATGTTTTCAAACTTTTTAAAAATCGACTTTTCAGGACATTTTTTAAATTGCCGTAAAAATGTTTTACAACAATGAAATGGTAAAAATTTACTCAAAAATTAGATGCAATCTGATGTAAACAATGAACTTAATACTTTATATAACTGGGTGATAATAAATTAAGTTTAAATGCAGGTAAATCTAAATTTTGTTTATTCGCTAAAAAAATCAGAATAAGTTCTGTAGACATTAATAATGTTGAAATTATTGTAGATGGGGAAAAATGCCCATGCTGATTATGTTATAAGAAAATTCTCAAAAAAAATTGGATTTATAACCAGAATAGGCAAGAATCTGTCAATGCACACAAAATTGTCGCTCTACAACGCCATTGCACTTCCTCATTTACAGTTCTGTCCAACATTATTGTTTCATTTGCGGCAATATAAGATAAGCCAGTTGAAAAAATCCAAAACAGAGCTATGTGACTGATTTTAAAATGATCGAGTTTAATAAACTACCAGCGACTAAATAATTAAAAATAATTTAAACCAGTTTAAAAAGCTTTAAAAGAAATTTGTTTTTAATTAATGTTTAGTTTTAAGTTTTTTCTATATACAATAATGTTTAGTAATACCAACTTTTGGTGCTAAATAAATACGATAAACTTTTACATTTTCTGCAAATTTTTTGAAAATTTCAGAGTGGCGTTTTTTCATTTTCTATTTTTTTCCAATTGAAAAAAAATAGCTCAGCTTATTTCTTATTATACCACTGAGGATTTTTGAGGATGTAGAGAGAACCTCAAAGTTTGAAAAAAAAAGTGGTAATAATCGAAACAATTTCAATGTTTTTCGAAAAAGTAAAAAAAAATAGAAGATTGTTCTGAATATTTTTTTATATATTTTTTTTAAAACTCCATTTAAAAAAAAGAAAATTAAAAAAAAATTATAAACAACATCTATAAATACAATAAATAAAATTATTTGTTTTTTAAGTAATTAACCAAAAAAGGAGTGTTAAAAAAATAACATAAGATAAATTCCATCACAAATTAACCACTTAAACCTTTTTAAAACCCTGTTGTTTATCTAAAAAAAAATAACCATATAAGGTTTTTTTATTTTCTTTTGTTTGAAATGTAATTTTCAAAAAAAAATACTTTTTCGAAATACATTGAAATTTATTTGATTGCATTTATTATTATGTTTTTCAAACTTTTAAGTTAAAAATTGTTTTTTTCAATTGAAAAAAAAATATATAAAACGAACAAACGACACTGAAAATTTTAGAGAATTTGCGAAAAATGTCAGTTTCTAATAAAAAAAAATGAAAAACAGCAGAAATGTTCGTTTTTTCTTGAATATTCAAATAAAATGAAATAATTGTTTTCTATATTTTTCTAAAAAGTAGGTACATACAAGAACAAAAATTTTGAAAAAAAAACGTTTGGATAAGTCAATTTTTAAAAAAGTTATAGGTAGGTATTTTAAAATCCATTTTTTATAAAAATCATAACTTTTTTTCGGTTGGGTAATATTCAAAAACGTTCTTGATAGGGTAGAAAAAGAACAAAAAGTTTTAGCCAAAGCAAAAGGGGTCAGGGTCAAAGGTGGTCGATTTGGTATGGAATATACAAACCTGGGTCTCCATTATCGTGAGGTACAGTGTCGGGCACTTTTCTTGGCACTGTTTCCGCGTCGTACAGCATGTAAACTTTATCGGGTATATCCATAAAAACGGCGTCTCTTAAATCGTATTGTAATGCATTTTGAAGTTGTGGCCAATTTTTCGATAGAGCATGAGAGGCGTAGAAATGCACATCATAAGAGTTAAACATTCTATATTCATGTCCTTCAAGATATAAGAATTTTCCTACAGTTTTTCTAAAAAAATAAGTTTTGTGATGATATGCTCATTATATGGAACCCCTCATTTTAAAACTAGCGACATCTATAGGTATGAAACAAAACTTGGTGGTGTGTTGCTTATTTTTTGTTAGTATAAAATAATGATTACACTGAAAAAACAGGGATTCCATACTACCACCTACTGCTTTATTTTTTTATACCTTGGATCATTATCCTTGTATTCTTTTATTTCTTCGCTAGATGGCGATACCCATACGCTACCGCCATCGCTGATAAAGTAAGTTTCGTTGAATAGAGCCGATTTGTACCAGTCAGGGAGGCTCCTATAATTATATAAAACGTATATACAGGGTGCCTCAAAACTCGCGCCACAGAGAAAAAGGGAACGTGCCGAAAGTTATTCGAAACACATACTTGAAAATTAAAATTATCTAACGCAAAGGATAAGCGAAATAAGAATAAAAAACGATAGCCACTCCCAATACATGGCCATAGGGAATTGCTTTGTTGATATTATAATATGTAAAATATTATTTGGTCGACTGGAATTCACTTCATTGTGACACTGATGTCAATTTTTGTTTCTATCATTATTTATCATTTTAAGTTATGTTTTTTCTCCTCTGATTATGCAGAAATGAATATTTATGGGTAGTATGGGCGCAATGCTAGGGAGGCAGCACGAGTTTTTTCCTAGCGCTTTCCTGATCGTCCCCTGGACTGTAAAGTTGTTCTGCATTGTAACGAAATTAACGAAGCTATTCCCAATGCCTTTGATGCGAATAGTAGAAAGAGCATAAGGAAAGTTGCATGCGAATTTCTTGTTCTCAGTTCAGCGGGTTATGAAGGCATTCATTTTACGCGAGTGCAGCACCTGCAGCAGGACGATAATCCCGCTAGAGTGGAATTCTGTTATAGAATTGTGGTTGCTAGAGATTTTGGCTCGGGTACAGAACTGGTTGTTTAATTTTTACTTTAAAACATTGGCGTTCTAAAGTATGACATTCCGTTTTAAAAGTTTTAAGGCAACAATGTTCTATCATCTTCTAGCAATTTTTAAAGCTCCTACGTTTAACATAGCCCTCGGTATTGGCTGCCGCTTTTTTGTTCTCATTTGATTACACTAAAAAAAATATTTTTAAATTTGGCATCTCCCTTGCTATCAGCACGCCAACTTTTTCTTTGTGGCGCGAGTTCTGGAATACCCTATATACAATTATATAAAAAAGTGCAAAGTTTTAAAAATAAAAGTTTTTCATAAAATATTTGGTATTATAGTATAGTATGATTATAATTTTTCATAATTTAATGTCCCTGAAGCTGGCACAGCAAAGTTAGAAGAACGCAAATTTTATAATGCTTTACAAAATACTAATTTAATGCCCTGATTTGAAATTGAATGCTTTTTCTTTTTAAACAAAAAACAAGTTCTGCCAACTTTAGAAAAAGTTAGAAGAACAATAGTTAATGGGCTAAAAAATAATTTTAAAATGGATGCTTAAATGTTCGGATAGTTAAATGCTAATGTAATGCAATAATAAAAAAGGACGATCAACAACATAACAAAAAAGACCGAAAACAAAAAACCCAGCATAAAACAAACCAAACAGCCAAGAAAACAACCAAAATTTTCTCACACAAAATTAATGAAATACTACAAAAAAGTATAAACATATATACAGTCTGTCACTAACAAATATCAATTGCTCAAGACTAAAAAGTGGGAAAAATGTTTCCCTAACTCAACTGATCATTAAAACAAAAAAGGGCTTTATCCTAAAATCAGATAATGACAAGTCAAAGATTCACCTCAATACCTACCTTCTTAAACATTAATGTTAATGTACTAACTTGGACCAACCTGATGAAAACTAACCAACAAAACCCACACATAAAGATACAGTATGTCTCTAAAAATAATATATAACATCATCAATAGCTATACCAAACGAAAACTACCAATCAAAAATTACATAGAAAACAATAATATAAATTGTGTACTTTTTGTTGAAACCAAAACCTCTACAAATAGCAATGTTGGTTACAGAGACTGGACAACGCTAAGCCAGGTTGGAAACCAAATTCACAACAAATCCTGATGGTAGTCTCATACAGGCCCACCCATCATTAAACCTACAAAAAGCCAACCCACCTCAAATAAATAACCAACTAAATGAATGCCTGCCTGTTACATTCCCGCTGGGAAAAGAGAAACTTTATATTTTTTTGGTATACATACATTCCTTTGCTAGAATAGAATAAACAATGTTTACAAAAGCTAGCCTATATAAACACATCTTCATTATACCTCACCCACAACAATGACAGTACGCCGGATCTACTGATACCGAAAATTTAACTCCAATAATAACAAATGTGGACATTGCTCCTGACTTGGGATCAGATCATCTAGCATTTAATATTGAAATAGTCCTTAACAATTCCCTTAATTATAAACCTCCAACAAAACTTATTTATAACAAATAAACAAGGACATGAAGTGCTATGAAAACGACCAATTCACGATTAATAAAACTAACATTACCAAATTTAATCACTCCTTAATCACTTTAAATCAGCATACCAATAAGAAAACAATAATAATTTCGACGATTACTTTTACCAAAGGGTAAACCAATGGCACAACACACTACCCAATTTAATAACAACCCACCTGAGATAAAAGAGGATCTATATTTTGACAAAATTACAAAAAACACTACTCCAGGATATGAAAATGTAACCAGACCTGTAATAAAACATTTTAACATCAAATTCATCAACAAATTATAAAAATGTACAACTTTTACCTTAAAACCAGCTATATACCCTCAGAATGGAAAAAAGGTACAATAATCACAATACCTAAACCCAACTTGGCCCATAAAAAGGTAAAAAACTACCGGCCCATTCCACTACTCATATTAGCAAGAACCTTAAAAAGTTGATTGCACACCTTCTTGAATAAGTTTCAAGAAAATAAAGCCACAATTCACTCTTTAATAATATTAGCGTCCAAGCAACAAAAATTAGAGGTCACAAAACAGATGCTCTATTTTTGTATATTAACAAAGCATTTGACAGTGTATGGCACAAAGGACTGATATATAAGCTAATAAGTTAAGCTTGACTGTCCTCACTGGCTCATCAAAATAATCCAAGAATTTTTGTGTGACAGAGAAATCATTATAAAAGTCAAAGAGAGGACATCAAAGAAAATAACACCCCAACAGGGACTACCTTAAGGATCACCACTATCTCCTATTTTATACAACATCTACAGTAACGACATATAGAATGAAGACCCAAAATATATCGACTTCGATAAATATGTGCAACAATACGCCGATGACACTGCAATAGAGCTCACGGAAAAACGAAAAAAGAGGCTACAAAATTTGATGGACAAGGTATGCCTTTGGTTCAACAAATGGCGACTGATTTGAACGTTTGGATAAGTTTTAATTTGTATACAACCCCAAAGTCACACCAAGTCAATCAACCAAATATCTGGGCATTACTATAGACTAAACTCACTAAACTCGCACTGTAACATAATGAAAACCAACAAAGTTAACAGAGCGACTCACATTGGATCTCTAACGTACCAAAATAAATGCATAGATAAACTTAATGCAAAAACATATACACCATGATATGTCGTCCCATCCTGAAATATGGTAGTCTTATTCATGAACAGCACCAAAGCCTAAAAAAACTGGAAGTTGCAAAAACAACAGCAATAAGAAAAATTCCAAAAACCTGACACCCCAACAACCCCCACCAAACACCCTCCTTTAAAGATTATTAATACTCCCAATATCCACGCCTACAAGAACTCGCCCAAAGATATAAAAAATCAGAATAAAATATCAAAAACATAGAAACAATGTGCATCAAACGGGAGAAAAAAAAAGCAAGATCCTTATCTGGTGAGGCTAGGGCCCAAGCCTCACCTTATAGGAAATATTAAATATTATTTAATAAATAGTTCTCCCTTTTTTATTGGTTCAAATATATGAGTATAATGATATAATTTGTTAATATTTTCTTTTTTATATAAGTACATAACATTGTTTTCTTTTATATATGTCACGGCTAATGTGCAAACTTGGATAGTTTATAAACTAGCTGGATAGTTTATAAACTAGCCAAACTGTCAGCTATTTTAATTGAAAATGTATTTTCAACTAAATTAGCGGCTAGTTTACAAAATAACCAAGGATCTTGGCTAATTTACTTGAAATTATTAGGGAAACTAAAATAGCTGGATAGTTTATATACTATCCAATTCAATTTGGCTAATATGAAAACCAAACTTTCTAGTAACACAAAATAGCCAAGCTTTAGCTAGTTTGAAACTAACCAACTAATTTTCTGGCTATTGCCCATTTTAGTTGGGTTTTTTACTCAATGGGGCGGGGGGGCCCAATGGGGCGGGGTCGGTTGGGTTGTGTTGTTGAGTTTGGGTTGGTTTGGGTTTTTTTCTCTCATTTTTGACCATTTGACTAATGGGGCGGGGTCGGTAGGGTTGTGTTGTTGAGTTTTCTAACAAGGAAGCGTTAAAATTTTGCCTATGATTCATTTTAAAAACGTTAAAATGCACAAAACAAATCCGGTTAAGCCGGCAAAACGAAAAACAATGCCGTAACCTCACTTTTTTAATAAATTAGCCAGAGAATTGGTTGCAACCATGGTTAGTTTACAAACTAGCTAAAGCTTGGCTATTTTGTGTTACTATAAATTTTGGTTTTCATATTAGCCAGACTGAATTGGATAGTATACAAACTATTCAGCTATTTTAGTTTCCCTAATAATTTCAAGTAAATTAGCCAAGATCCTTGGTTATTTTGTAAACTAGCCGCTAATTTAGTTGAAAATATGTTTTCAATTAAAATAGCTGACAGTTTGGCTAGTTTATAAACTATCCAGCTAGTTTATAAACTATCCAAGTTTGCACATTAGCCGTAACATATATACCAAAACATTGTATAGAAACATATTATTTAAGTTGTAAAAGGGCAGGACCTAGGTCGATAGCCCTTTGGTTAAACCAATATAGACTTTTTTAATGTAATCCTCTTTTTTTAACAAAATTAAGTTTTCCCGGCTTTAGTAAAAGTTAGAATAACAATAGTTAATGGGCTAATAAATAATTATGAAATGGATGTCAAAATTTTACGATTTCATGTAATTGTCACGATAAAACTAAAACAAACCAACCAACCCAACAACAAAGTAATATTATAATAAAAAAATAAATATTATAATAAAAAAAAAGCATTCAATTTTAAATTAGTGCATTAAATTAGAATTTAACTATCCGAACATTTTCACATCTATTTTATAATTATATATTAGCTTGTTCTTCTACTTTTTTCTAAAGCTGTCAAAACATGTGCTTTTTTAAAGGAACATTAAATTTTTAATTAGTGCAATAAATTAGCATTTTACTATCCGAAAATTTTGACATCCATTTTAAAATTATTTATTTCATTGTTCTTCTAAAGTGTGTTTTTTGTTTAATAAAAAAGAGAAAAACATTTTTAATTCGCATTTTATTAGCACCTAATTATGGGATTATAAAATTTACGTTCTGCTAACTTTGCTCTGCCAGCTTTAGTTTTTATTTGGGTCCATTGTTATTTTACAATATTTTATCAAGAAAATACCAGTAAATATAAAATTAGTTAATATTCGGAACTATTTTATAATAACTTACTCATTATTCAAAACCGGAGCCTGCCACTCGTAAATCTGTTTCTCCCAATCTCTAAAATTCTCAAATGCATACTCAACAATGTACAATGAGGCGTTCTCCTTCTTAAAAAACTCCGAATAAAACCTCCTGTACTTTTTACCGCCCTTTGGAAAAGTCACAGTAGGCATGTCCCACGCCAGCGCCATCTGCAACTGGGCGCTGCCCTTGGATTTCAAGGCCGTCTTGCAAGCAATTCCCACGGCCATTTCTCCGTAGCGTTGACCGTCGCACCTCTCCTCGAATTCCCCTTGATTTTTTAGCTGTAACCATGGTTTAGAACCGTTTGAGTTCGGGTCGAAGTACAGACAACGCGTTAATTTTGTCCCGGTACGGTTTTTGGCCGCTAGGGCGTAAGTGCAAGGCATTTTGTTGACCGTGTGGTGTAGAATCACCCCTGAAGATTCGCCAAAAGAAAATGCATTCGAACTTGATATCGCTGAAATATAGGTACATTATTTTTTTAATTTTACAACTAGAACCATAATGTTTGTTAAAAATGCTCTTTTACAGTGTAACAGTGGCGGCTTGTGGTCTATCGAAGTAAGTGGGCTGATAAAGTGCAAGTGTTAATATATTTTTTTTAGAAGCGTTGCCATTAAAAAAACTAGTCTAAAATGTTTGTGGCGCTACAAGAAAAGACAATTTATACAACTTAATAATACAAGTAATACGGCGAAGAAAACAATTACTGGTAAGCCAACCCTGTTGTAAATGACCGATTAATTCCTTATATAAACCATATATACAGTATTGGTGGGTATCAATCGGTCTGAATTGGACATACTGGGTTTAATTGGGAGCGATATAAAACATAAATTGGTTTTTGCTGGTATTTTCCATGACGGAAAAGTCCGATTAGGATTCTACTGTTTTTAGGGGTTTTGATTGGTTAAAGCTACCAATAGGTAATTTCCAATTGAATTCAATTGGGCATTCCCAGTGTAAGATTCTAGAAAGGAATCTGCTAATTGGTTATTCCCAATACTTTAAAATATGGAAAAATCCAATTAGGATTCTACTCTTTTTTAGTGGCTTCGATTGGTTAAAGCTACCCATAGGTAATTTCCAATTGAATTCAATTGGGCATTCCCAGTGTGAGATTCTAAAAAGGAATCTGCTAATTGATTATTCCCAATACTTTAAAATATCGCAAGAGGGCTCTCGTGTAGCTGCGCAAAACCAACGTACGCAGTCCTTGTTCGAATGGTTGACACGCCATCATTAAGAAACAAACAAGTCTTTGGACCATAGCCCAGAGAGCCATGCTTTGGGAAAGAAATTAGTCAACTTTTTCCCAACTAAGTTTGGACTACGATATTTTACATTTATTGGGGTTTATTTGGACATATTAATTGCATTTTCATAAAGTTTGACCAAAAATTGACATGTTTTATGCCAAATTATTTTCCAATGCGATAGCACAAAAACTACACAAATATACAGCCCTAGATAGAGTTATTATTGGCCAACGTCGTTTGTAATGAAGTTTGGTCGAAAATTGGCAAAGCGTTTGTAATTCAGATTGATCGAAACTTGGCAAATAATTGATCAGCATGGAAAAAGAATCGCAATGGCGAGTTATATGTCGTTAATATTTCAAGACCTTCTCTACAAAAAGGCGTCAAAAAGTGCTTGTGTGATAGTTATTACAAAAAAATATAATCATCTGTGCACTAACTACCTAAACGTGTTAAGTTTTAAACGGCTTTAAATTTTGAGTAAGTAATTAAGATTATGTTTTCAAAGTTTTTAATAAAACATTCAATAAGCGTTTTATTTACCCAATCTTCAAAAAATTAATAGATAGATTAATAGATTTTAATATAAATGAGAAAAAGAGTAATATTCTTTCAAATATAATAATAATATTTGTTAATACTTTGGATTTGTCCAAATATTTACCAATATTTGGTCAATTTTTCAAAAGCCTAATTGCCCAAATAAACATCAAAAATTTGTCATCGTTTTTCCATGCCCAAACATTCCCAAAATTAAACCAACGGTAACCTACCTAATTTATCCAAACTGCTTTGGCATATTATTGGGCACAATTTGGTCATTTATTGTTGGCCATCGCGATTGCACAAATACCATAGGAATATACAGTCCTACATAGTACATTTATTGGCAAAACTTTTCCAAAGGTAATGGGCAATTCTTGGCCATGTTTTAACCTGATATGGCTCTCTGGGAGGCGGCTATGGCTAAGTCAGTACAGACACAGCTGTCAAATATTTTGAAGTTTTGTTGGCATATTATGACATTTGATAATGGAGCGTTACACGGTTGCTCAACGCATTCAAATTATTCAAATTTACCAACAAAATTAATGTTTAATTCGCCAAACGTTTCAACGGCGTCATTTCACGCGGCGGCGATATCCAGTGGCCAACGAGATCATGCGATCTAACGCCGCTGGACTTTTTTGTGGGGCTACGTAAAGTCCCTTGTATACGTGAATAAGCCACGAACAATTGAAGCACTGACGGCCAACATTACTCGTATAATAAATGAAATCGAACCCGAAATGTGCGAAAAAGTGATAGAAAATTTGACCTGCAGAATGCGCGCTGTAGAGCGCAGCCGCGGGGGCATTTGAAAGATGTTATTTTTCATAATTAATGCCATAGGATGTTCTTTTAAATAAATATTTTTTTTTCCTAATATCTTAAGTGTAGTTTGTTTTATTTCATTTTAAAGTTAGAGCACTCTTAAGTGGACACCCTTTATAATCTATGGGTTTCTGTACTTATAGTGGTGTGTACTTCACCTTAAAAAATGTTTATATGTGTAGGGTTTAGGGACGATGGCGTGAGAATAGTGGTTACAGCGGACAAAAAAAAATTTACATAAACAATATTGATTTCGACCAAAAAAGACAAAAAAATGATTATAACCGAGTAATTTTATTTATTTTTTGTTACTTTTTTTGTGTTAATAAGTTATTTGTATCAATACATATCTCACTAACACAAAAAAATAATAAAGAAATAAAGTGTGAAAAATGAATTCTGGTTTTTACCCGGTTATTCTTCTGGGATCTTAATTATTTTTGAATGAAAAATCAACTGGTATTTTTATTTCCAAATTAAAAAAAAATAAATTGGTTCAAATTGGTTTGAATGGGTTTGGCGCTATGAATTACCAATTCATTTCAGGTGCATTTCTATTGGATTTAGCCAAGCATTGGCATGGATTAGTATATTCCAATTTAAGCCGCTGACTTCATTGGAACTTACCAATTGGTAAAAAAATCCATTGAAAACCATTCATGAATGGTTCAATGGTTCTAGGTGGTAACTTTGTACCAGGCAATACACCATTGCTAACTGTTCATGAGTGGTTTCAATTCGTGAAAAGTTATTAATAGGCAGGAGTACTGTTTTCTCAATGGTATTTCTATAGTCATAATTTTTTAGTGTAAGTTTGAAAGGTTTTCTATGGTGCTCGAGTTATGAGATTTAGAAAACTGTTTAGTAAAAGTTGAGGTGCACCATTAATCAATAGTTTTCAAAAGTTCTGCAGTTCTACCTATTGATGAATGGTTTTTGAGTGCCCAAATAGTGTTTGGCGATTTTACTGAAATTTTTTTCTACTTTCGCCCGCCTTTTTTTATTTTCGTCAACGTAGTCATCCTCACCACGTCCGCGACAAAGATAGGAAGTAATTAAATAATTGAAATGAGTAATTATTTACCGAAACATCGTTTATTGAGTCAATAAGTTCTTTCTGACATTTAAAAAATTTATTAAATCAAGTTATTCGACATTGTCGAAAATTGATATTGTGTTAGTACTAGAGGCCGTACTTGAATATAACGCGAGACGTTTAGGGGGGGGCTCGACCGGATCTTACGAAATCTTACTTGGAGGGGGGAGGGCAGCAAAAATAAACCAAAAATGACTTAAATTTGAGTAATTATGGGCCGTCGCTGTCGTCACTGACGTCGGACGCAGGAGTATAGTCGGTTGGTTTCTGATGGTACTCGAGGCAGTTGTCGGCTAAAAAATGTTGATTACTTAAAAACGGTGAAAATAACGACTGAGACATAGAACTTGTGATATTTATGAAAATTGCTCATTCACTTTTTAGTACATAGACCGGGCTTAGGCCGAATTCCGTGGTTAAATATCTGGGTCGAGAATAACGATGTAGGTCCAAAACGACGAGACCCGAGCGAGCCCGATTGAGCACACTACCCAGATAACAATTATGACATCATTTAAGACATCAACGTGAAATCATTGCTGATTCATTCAGTGATGTCACTGAGGTACGCATAAGTGTTGCACTTTTGATGAGCAACGTGAGATCCTCAATGGGTCACACGATGAATTCATTATGAAATCAAAGGGATGTCATTAATGATTTTACTTAAGGGAGTAAAAATGCTAAAATTAATTAAAATAAATATTTATTTTCTTAAATAAAATAAAAAATATTTAAAACATGTTTTTAATAAAATTTAAAAAAGTAACTTGCATCTGATTATTAATTTTTATACATGTATATATCGTCGTTTATCTGACAAAGAGGCGTAACTCAAAAAAATTCATTTTTGAGTTATACCAGAATGATCACCAAAATCGACTTTATAATCTCACAAACTGGCGTAGCTCTATAATAAATAGGTACAAATAAAGTTTTAGCATAAAGCAGTTTCGGCTTAACTAATATTTTTGCATTTTGTGTGCCGTACAAACTGGCGTAATTCAATTCACACCGTTTTGTTTAAAAATGAGATACGCCTCTTTGTCAGATAAACGACGATATGTACCTAGCACGTGCTAACTATAATTTATAAATTAATTATAAAAATATATTTAAAAATACGATAATATTTAAGCCTTGGTAAGATAAATCCATTCCCAAAACTTGGCAACACTTATGGTATATACCTACTATGCAGAGCTGTACAAGAAAAAAGTATTCGAGTAAAAGTACAAAGTACTTTTTCCAAAAACTATTAAAATGTAATTTAGGTTTCAGTATCTAGCAAAAAAAGTTGTTAAAAGTTAAACAACAAAATATCAGGTTTAGGTCACTTAAGGATATTTAAAAAAAACTGCATTTTTATATTTATTTAATACACCTATTTATTTATGTTTTGAATATTTTTTTCCAAATAACCAATTATTTCGATTTTAAACAAAAAAATAATATTAAAATAGATTAACTATTCTTTTACATAACCTTTATTACCTATATATACCTATAGGTATACGTATTCATGCAAGTAATTTATTATATATTTTATTTAATAAATAGCCTAAACATTATTTAACTGCAAGCACGAAATTAAATTAACATGCATTTATGACTGCAAAAAAAATAAGATTGAATGCAAAAATATAACCTAACTTTTTAAGCGTAGGTACCAAATATAACAAAAACATATTCGAGTAGGTAATCAAATACAAAATAATATTTAAAATC